GAATTAAAAAAAGTTAGAATATACTAGTAGAACCATCAGTAAAACCAGGGATGTTACAAGTTTCCAGTTCTGTATTCATGTTAGCACAGTTTGATATGTGTTTATTGGTCCAAGGCAACAGTTTACATGATTCATGTAGGATTTAAAGCTTAAGTAGTGCATCTCATTTACAAACTAGTATTTAATCTGAATCGTTAGTGAATTAGAATGTTCAAATATATCGTTATTATTGCATGTCTGTTGTCACAAATAAATCGTCCCTAAGGTAACAGGTTGTGAGATTTAATCCTATACTATAGATAATACTGTGCCTATTGTTACAAATACGTCGTCACTAGGGCAACAGTTTGTGAGATTTAATCCTATACGATAGGTAATACTGTTAGAAGAGACTTCACAGACGTCGAGGTTTCCAGCCTTGACGAGGTCGATCTGTTTCTGTGTCATGTAATATAACTAAAACAGTAGCTTTAACCTTGACAGTTCAAATAAATAATGAAGCTGAATAGCGGTATGTCTCAAAAAGGCGGCATGTCTTAAAAAAGGAGGCATGTTTTAAAAAAGGAGGCATGTTCCAAAAAAGGCGACATGTTTTAAAAACGGAGGCATGTCTTAAAAAGGGAGGCTGAATAGAACTTCAATCTGCCTCAATCTGAACCTCAACCTGCCTCAATCGAATCTCAATCTGCCTCAATCGAACCTAAAACGAACCCCAATCGAACCTCTATCGAACCCCAATCTGCCTCAATCGAACCTCAAACGAACCTCAATCTGCCTCAATCGAACCTCAATCTGCCTCAATCTGAACCTCAACCTGCCTCAATCGAACCTCAATCTGCCTCAATCGAACCTCAAACGAACCCCAATCGAACCTCAATCTGCCTCAATCGATCCTCAAACGAACCTCAACCTGCCTCAATCGAACCTCAATCTGCCTCAATTGAACCTCAAACGAACCCTAATCGAACCTCAATCGAACCTCAATCTGCCTCAATCGAACCTCAAACGAACCTCAATCGAACCTCAATCTTCCTTGGATTGAGGTTCGGATTGAGGTTTAATACCGGCATATTACATCAACTACCAATACATTCTATGATGCAGACGGCCCTTTGTAAAAATCATACATTTCGTTTTTCCTATGTTAACTTTCAATCTCCATTGTCTACAATATGTAAATCTTGAGGGCAGTCAGAAAAAAAGAATCGGATCGTCTGCATACAATTAAATAAAAAGTTTGATGTAGATATGGAATTCTTCTTCTAATTTACTACTTAGGCACTGTAAACCCTTAACATTATTACGAGTCATAAAATCTTCAGGGTCGTTCAAGTATAAACTGAATAGAAAGGGAGATAAGTTTTCACCTTGTCTCAAACCATTATCACATGGGGAAAAAGTAGAACTTTGACCATTAAAAGTTATCTTAGACTTAATGCCTCGGTACATGTTGTATATAATCGAGTACATGTTGTATATAATCGAGTACATATTGTATATAATCGAGTACATGTTGTATATAATCTACTCAATGTACTTTAAGCAGCAGTTAAAAGTACCTCACTACTTCAGACATCAGTATACCAGTATCCAGGTCATTGACGTTATTGCATTGGTTAATCATATCTACAATATTCTGGATTTTATCGACATCAAGATTTTCAATAAAAGCCTGTATTTGTTAATAGACTCATTGTTACATGTATCGACATTGACATGTGTACTCCTACGTATGGTTAGCGAAAGTGGACAATGTGCATCTGAAAATAATGAACTAAAATCTAAAACATTAAAGTCATCAATGGATTTCAAAAGCTCTGAAGAACATATTACATAATCTACAATACTTGAAATGTTTATTTACCCCTATTTCGATCTCCACCGACTCTGCCATTACAAATAAACAAATCATTAAATCCAAAAATGTTCTTGCGCAAATCTTTACTCTTTCTATGTTTATCGATATCAAAATTTTTCAAACACACTTAAATGTACACCATCATTAAAAATGGCCATGGTTGTTGATCTCTTTCGTCTGTTTCAACAAAATCTATGAAGTCATCCGCTCTCGCCGTTCTGGCATTAAAATCTCCCAATAACAAACGTGTTGACACTTGGATGATAATCGTAAGTACTCATTTTCTAACTCAGAAAATGGGTCACCAACACTATAAGTAGACCTCTCGGGTGGTGTATATACTATACCAAATAATAGGTTCCCATCGCATTGACATATTTCACTATCCAGTCTAAACCAGCTTACAAATTTACTGCCACTTTCTATTGCATGTATGTAACTTTTAATTTCATGTTTATAAGCTAAAGGTTTACCTCCAGACTTTATTTTTCTGAATCCAAACTTATTTTTCATTACAGTTTCAAAACCAGGCAGGCAGGTCAATAACATCTCCATTATCTGTTTTAGTTTCACATAAACATAGCTGAATATCAAAATTATTTACAAACTCACGAAGTTCTGGGTATTGTACTTTTCTCAGAATACCACAGACATTTAGCATCAGTATTTTAATATTACATAATGTAGTTCAACTTGTGACTATATTGGTCCATGTTTGCCCTCCGGCGCATTCCTATTGGTGCTGAGAAGAATTCATGCGCTTGCGCTTAAAACGGGGTGGTTTGGTGGGCGTGTCTGTGGGTGTATCCGGGGGCTTGTACAATCATGGACTTAGATAGCACACCCTCTTTTTCTTTTATGGCATGCTGAAATTAGGAACCATATCACGATGGATTTGGGTCAATATTTAGAGCCGTCGAAATACACTTTCCAGGTTATCAATGCGACTGAAATAGTTCTGTGTACATGATAATATACCAGATTGTAATTATGTAAACAAATTACAACATATTGATGATCAATTACCGATAATTACATGCATTAATGAACTCACTCGCGATCAGTAATCTAAGGTTAAATGGCGGCCATTATTAAAAACACACGGATTAACAACCGTTTTCAGAATACAAATACTACAATTTCAGAAGTATATGGGTTCACTTGAAACCACATGTTGCGATCGGACACATATCAAAAAGCAATTATGTTCGTCCGTATGTCTATTATCTATTTATTATAGCAAGTAGTTCAAAACTCCAGCGGAGGGTAAATGCAAGACGATGAGGCGACCCCGATGAGGGGAGTGAAATCACACGCTATTGCATCATGATGAATTTTGGTCAATATTCAGAGCCGTACAAATACACTGATTAGATCGTCAATGTGATTGAAATCGTTCTATGTACATGATAATATACCAGTTTGTAATTATGTAAACAAATTTCAACATATTTATGTTCAATAACCGAGAATTACATACATTCATTCGCATCAACAACCGTTTTCAGAATACAAATACTACAATTTCAGAGGTTAGGGTTCACTTGTAAAACCACGTGTTGCGATTGAACACATATCTAAAAGCAATAATGTTTAGTTCGTATGTCAAATCATCTATTTAAAAGCAAGAAATGTATACAACAACAGACATTAATGGCGGGTGTGAAGCCATAACATAATTCAAGTATAGGTTCACTATAAAGTTTTGCAATTTGAGACATTTTACTAGTACTTGACACAACAAACATGATAAAAATAAAGACAGAAGTAAATCAAAAATCAATTACTTTGAACTCTGGTAAATGTTACGGTACAGGATTCCCCAGAATGTATAACTTTTCAAAGCCAATTATTCCCCAATCACGTAAAATCTCGCGCTTTCTCGCAGTTTCTCGCAACATCAAAGTGCCCTAGATATATTTCCTATGCAGAAGAGACAGTTGCCTTTCCCTCTAATCTAATTCCGTGGTACAATGCATCATCCCTATACAATTGGTCTTTGATCAACACCGTTTTCTTCCCTGATTATCGTGCTTCTTTCGATAAAGGGTACATTTTTTTCCTTCTTTCGGAAAATGTTCATCAATTCCATTGTGTGTTCCTTTTAGTTTATTCGCACTCTATTTCACAGTTGATCAGTCTTTGTAGTATAGAAATTTTGCAATAATTGCTCTCTCTTCCATTTCTTCCATCATCTCCTTCATTTCATCAACTTCATCTAGTGCATCATTTTCACTGAAGCTTCCCTGTCTATCTTTATTTTTACAATATTTCTCCCTATAGTATCATTTGCAGCTTTTACACGATCCATGATATTGCTGTTATCCTGCAAGTCACTTTCTATGTCTATGATATTTCTATTCGTGCTCTCAAGCTCCGTTTCCTTACCATTAGCTTCTATTAGCGTCTCTCCAAACTTAGAGTAATGTCAATGATTCTATTAAGTGATCAAGCACTATTTCTTTTAAATGCTCTTAGTCAAAATGTAAGACCGACGTTAAATATTTTAGACACAAAGCATAGCTATAATTGTAGCCGACTAATTATGTAATTATGTAAGTCTATGCATAGTCAGAGTTGCTGACAGCTCACCTGCAATGCAACTGTAGACATCTAGATGAGAGTTCTTTCCAATACTTTCTTGAGTGACTGTGTCATTAATACCTAGATTTGAAAAAAAAAGACTAGTGAAATATGCAAATAAACTTATACATTTTACCGCGGACTTATAGAAAGCATTCCGTGATAATTAAATATAATTCATAGGGATTGTGTTCATCATTCAGATTGGATTTTTTTTATGCTGCACCCTAGTGAATTTTTAGATGCCATCAATATGTAAATTGTTTTTAAACTGGGCATTTGAAAAAAAATACATAAACAAATTTCACGAACATGCACAATTTGTTAACGAGAATACGTTCCGAGTCGATCTTGAGTTACAAGGGTTTCATATATAAGCAAATAAACGGGAAACTACCGGAATCCTGTTGTCCATTAATTCTGTAATGGCATTCAGGGTTTAGGTTAGTATTTTCAATATAAACCATCCATCTAGAAATAAATGCTTGCGCCACTTTAATTTTCTAAAACAGAAAATATACACGCCTTTCGAACAATTGAAATACCGGAAATAGAAAAGCTAGCGCCATCGTACGGCTTTTTGCATCATAACACGTCGCCAAAGCAGGTTGGTGTAGACGTTTCACGACTAGAGGTAGCGGACGGCGAAAGTAGAATTATGTCAGCCAACGGACGAGGGTCAATGCGAGCTCAGAGTCGTTCTCCTCCTTTCATAGTTATAGGTCTTTCGGTAGCGTTAGTTATCCTAGGGGCGAATTACTGGAATCTGTCTTCTAATAACAGCAAGTTGGCGTTCGAGGTGGCTGAACTTCAAGATCAAGTTCGACAAGTCTCTGCGAAACGAATCAGCGCTGAAAAGAAGATAGATTCCATGGCAGAGAGTTACAACCGAAACAAGGAGACTTTAGCACAGAAAGAGAGTGACGTAAAATCCCTGAACGGTCAAGTAGAGGGCAAACTGGAAGAACTGCAGTCATTGGGCAAAGAAAAGGAGACATGTCAGAATAATTTGGTTAGTACTAATATTAATACACGGCCACCTCGATCTGCCCCGGCCGGTCTGACGACACAATATATAAACAAATCTCTCGTCGTCAGAAAGCTGTAGTACGTTATCGCAGCTATAATTTGGTATGCAGTCACACATCGATAAACATTCAGATCACATGATCACACACGTTAAATTCACCACGTTCATCGATACCGGTTACTGGCTTCATACAATTGTGGTTACTTGTTTGTAGTTTACCTTAAAGGTGATTTTTTTTATTATCTTTATACCACTTACAAAATGTTGTTAAAGTTCCCATCTGCTAGATTATTACATTTCAGGGATTATCTCCCCTTAATTTACCATACATTCTCTTTAAAAAAAAAGAGCAAAAGTAAGAATCTATCTGGATGTTTTCAATGACTTTGTAAAAAATTGACGACATCGCCATTAATTCTACTCACTTCCCAGTGGTCGAGAAACGTCCTGAACGACAGGACATACAATTGCAGAGACGTTATAAATATATTACAGAGATTGGCAACTTGCTCTTTAACTTAACATTGGTCACAATAACCGGATGTCATATCGCGAGCTACGCTTCACCTGCACCATATTGGATATACAGTTCGCTGCATTCAATAATGCCATGAGAAACATCAAAAATCAACATGATATTAAACCCATAGCTAGCTGAGATTTCCATCCGGTTAGGGAGTGCTACTTTGAATGTAAACTTGAATGAGTAAGTTTGGAAAACACCAAACATCAAAAGAATTTGCACATCGTGGCTGTGTTTACATATCAGGAATGATTTTGGCTTCAGGAGAACACAAACTCCGTTTTTGTTCTTTAGACAATTTCAAAAATATATTAGATATTTTAAAATTATTTGATAACATGTCTAACCAGCTTCTTAAAATGAGTCTGTTACAATACTTGCAAAGTTCAATAATTTAGGTCTGGAAAGACAGATATTTAGGTCACCTGAAACAAAGTCTCAAGTGACCTATTGCGATCGCCTTTTGTCTGTCGTGCGTCTGTAAACAATTTACATTTTTGACTTCTCCAAAACCCCTGAACCAATTTCAATGAAATTTTGCAGAAACCTTCCATGGCCAAATGTCAACCAAAATTGTGAATTATATGGTCTTCAGGTATTAATTATTTGATAATATTTCTAACCAGGTTCTTATAATGAGGGTGTTAAATACTTGCAAAGTTCAATAATTTAGCTCTGAAAACACAGTTTTCTTAAGGATAAACAAGTTAAAATGGCGGCTTTGATTTGTGAGGTTATTTTTCATGACACATTAAAACACGAACTCCTTTCTAATTCATTATGTAATTTCAAAAACATCTTCAGATTTTTATTCAAACATAATATTTCTAGTCAGCTTTTTGAAATAAGGTTTTTATAATGCTTGCAAAGTTTGATAATTGAGCTCTGAATATACACTTTAAAATATACAAGTAAAAATGCCAGCTGTGATGTGCGAGGGTTAATTCCTTTCATGACACCGGCACTCCTTTCTCTTTCATTATTTTATTTCAAAAACTTATTCAAATATATATATGAGCCATATATCTAGGATATGTGACATGTTGACACGAACTAACGAATACACGATAAAATTCTCACTGACCAGACTATCGTCACAGGATCAATATCATTCTGCTTCGACATGTGCTTTTAGTTGTCAAAGCAAACACTCATAGACCATGTTCCGTGTGATTGCGCAGCCGCAACCCAAGTCTCACTGCATTTCTTATTATAACAATAATAATTTTAAACACAGGGGTCCATCCTGGATCAGGAAAAGAATACGCCTACTGTTACCCACTGCATGTATCGTAGGAGGCGACTAATGTGGGAACACCCTGCAGAATTGGGGATTTGTTTTGATGTCCTCTATCTTGGGACACAAAAGCGACAAAATAAATCTGCAACGCCCATTGCAATATTTGAAATCTTTATCTTTCTACTTCTAAGTTCTAACTACCTATTTATTTCCTAGCACCTTGCACTTTTGGCTTGAATGTTGAGCGTTTGCCCAGGTGAGGAAGGTAATGGGTTCTGTCCCCAGGCCATCCGTTGTCAGTATAATGTGACCGGGCGGAATGCTTGTGCTTGGTGCTTTCGGCATGGCATTACAGTGAGATAGCACTATAAAGTTGGCATCAGATCCGCGCTATCACACGGAGGCAATCACACCCTGTCTCCTGCATGCACACATGTAGGCACGCGTGCACTGCACACACGGAGGCAAGTCCTTAGCTGTTAATAGGACATTAAACTAAATCATTACAAATATATCTTAAATGCATACACATTGTCATATGTCTTTAAGCACCAAAATAAACATTTATAATATAACTAATATCTTATTTATGATATTTTTTAAGCAACATGGATGCTACCAATGTCAACAATAACAACAAAAAAGAGAATGGTATTTTATTTTCTACGAGATGCTGTCAAGCAGATCTAGACAAATTTGCAAAATAAGAGGAGAAAATACCAAACATCTATCGTTATATCGTTGGTTCAGTAAGAACAGCTTAATCGTTTTTGAAATTTTTGTATAGCAATTACTGTAATAATTATTTTAAATGCATTATTTCACAAAAGATGTCTTTGGAGGAAATATCCTATTACTGGGTATATATTTTAATTAATATCTTGTTTTATTAAATTATTAAATTAAAGGACATAATTCCTGCATGCATCTTAACTTTACTCAATCGTCTCTCGCTATGATCATTGTGTTTTGTACTGATCATACAAAGTACAAAGTATTCTTGTTTCGTTTTATTGTAAATAATTTTATAATAATTACTGTAAAGGAAGTGAAGTAATCTTAGTACAATGTTACTACAACATCATAATCAAACGCTGCACAGACATTTGGAAAAAGATATCCAGCTAACGTTGCGAACATTGTGACCAGAGCAAGATGTTCTCTGGACATAGTGTGCCCATTGAGTGACTACAGACAGGGTTGTGTAGGAATATTACATACTTATATAATACCCGACCTCCTCTGGGGACGCATTATCTATCACATAGTGTGCCCACTGAGTGTTTACAGACAGGGTTGTGTAGGAATATTACATACTTATATAATACCCGACCTCCTCTGGGGACGCATTATCTATCACATAGTGTGCCCACTGAGTGACTACAGACAGGGTTGTGTAGGAATATTACATACTTATATAATACCTGACCTCCTCTGGGGACGCATTATCTGTCATATATTGTGTCCTCGTATAACGCTATGGTACCACAGCTTCATGTCCTCGTATGACGCTATGGTACCACAGCTTCATGTCCTCGTATGACGCTATGGTACCACAGCTTCATGTCCTCGTATGACGCTATGGTACCACAGCTTCATGTCCTCGTATGACGCTATGGTACCACAGCTTCATGTCCTCGTATGACGCTATGGTACCACAGCTTCATGTCCTCGTATGACGCTATGGTACCACAGCTTCATGTCCTCGTATGACGCTATGGTACCACAGCTTCATGTCCTCGTATGACGCTATGGTACCACAGCTTCATGTCCTCGTATGACGCTATGGTACCACAGCTTCATGTCCTCGTATGACGCTATGGTACCACAGCTTCATGTCCTCGTATGACGCTATGGTACCACAGCTTCATGTCCTCGTATGACGCTATGGTACCACAGCTTCATGGTGTATTAGCTTTATTTAGGACAATTGCAAACTTTGCTTTGCAGAGAACTATAAAGGAGGTCACGACTGCGAGGAACTCAATGTCCATTCTCGACAGTGGTATAGATAAATATATGATATGCCACATTTACTCTGTGGCTGCACAGTTAAGTGTACATTTTGCATGCACTAGTCTCGTTTGGTTCATATCACTGCCCAGTCACAAGTGAAAAAATGTAATGTTATTCCTTATAAATACAAAAATAATACAAGTTATCAAAATTATCTGCCATAGAAATGAGCACACACTCAGCTTTGTTATGCAATTGATTTAGAAAACAAAGGTTTCAAATTAAACAAAGAGGATATTTTTCACTCTAAATTGTTTTTGTGTTTACATGACAATGTACATTTCTAAAATCTTACAAACACATGACATATGAAATGACAGCACTGTCTTACATTTTTCAAACATTTATGAGCCTATTACTTAAAACTGCCTCTGTCGAATTTCACAGTCCTGTAGCAATTGGTTTTGCTAACAGTTCATTGTATATGCTTGCACCATGTTATCAATACAAAACACACTACATTCTCCATCCTTGATACTCCATGGGTTCTGCTCACTGTGCTCTCTGCACCCCTTAAATATATCGTAACAAAATAGAAGACTCAGTATTTACCTCCTTGTAGAAGAGACAAGAAAAATAGTTTGATCCTTTGATGTACATCAAAAGAATCCCACAACAGAAACATTGACAGGCTTTGAAGTTGGTGTCCCTCTTTTGTAATCTTCAAAGACAGGAATGAGCCTAGCAATTAGTCAGTTTTTTTAACCTAGACCAATCAAATAGCTAACCAATTTGCACCTGCCTTCATTTTTGCTATGACATATTTCAGGAGTGCAGAAAACATAAGTGAGCTATACATTCTCCTGCAACTGCTAGATCATTTCCATATCTATAGGAGTATATTACAGTCAGTACTTTGCTGATTTGGCTTAATTTATTGTTGATTATGATTAAAACTAAAAAAATAATTCACAACAATCAAGAAAACTAATGTCAGTGATAACCATCTTTATAAAATCTGAAGTAAAAAACACATTATCAGTAAAGTTTCCCTTTTTACGTTAATTCACCATTTATTGCAATGGAATTTACTCATTTTTCCTGTTATTTGTCTGTCCTAGCATAAGTAATGACTGGTGTTTCTGTTATCTGATACTATTACATTATTTTTGAATTTTATTTTTATTTTTTTAACTTCAGAAAAATTGTGAAGAAAATAGTAACGGAATACAACAGGAGTTGCAGAAAGTTAAAGGTTTGTACAATATATACATAAACACTGTGTTAATTTTGTTGTAATACTTGGTAAGAAACCAACATTTTGATCAATAATGACATGTGGCAGTATTTATACATGTGAACAGAAGAATGTGTTGAGCCTATGGATCAAAAAGATTGATACTAGCAGCTGTTACAGTAAAACTCAAGTAATCTTTAACAAATTGGCTCTGTAATGTACTATTTATGGCTAAGAACATCCATATACATGTAGACTTGTGATGAGTATAAAACTCAGCACATATATATATATATATATATATACAAATCTCTTTTTTAGCTCACCTGCCCACATGGCAAGTGGGCTTATGTCATGGTGCGGTGTACGTCCTCGTCCGTCAACTTTTCCTTTAAACTTCCTCTTTTGGCGAACTGACAGCCCTAGAGTCGTGTTATTTGGCTGAAAGCTTTGTTGGTAGGAGCCCGATAAAGTTTGAGATCGAAAATGATCTTGACCTACTTTCAATGTCACAGGGGTCATATATGTGAAAAACTTCAAACGACTTTTTCTGAAGAACCAAAAGGTAAAGAATCTTCATATTTGGCTGATGGTTTCATGGGATGGAGTCCAACAAAGTTTGAGAATGAAAATGACCTTGACCTGCTTTCAATGTCACAGGGATCAAATGTGTCAAACCCTTCAAACGACTTCTTCTGAAGAACTGTAAGGTATAGAATCTTCATATTTGATTGAGATTGGGATTGAGCCAAACAAAGTTTGAGAACGAAAAAGACCTTGACCTACTTTCAAGGTCACAGCAGTCAAATATGTCAAACGCTAAAAACAACTTCTTCTGAAGAACAAAAGGTATAGAATCTTCGTATTTGGCTGGTGGCTTCCTGGGATGGAGCCCAAGAAAGTTTGAGAATGAAAATGACCTCAACCTACTTTAGAGGTCAACGAGGTCAACAACATTTTAAAGGATTTGTTCTTAAGAACTAAAAGGAATGGATTCTTAAGATATTGCTGGTAGCTTTTTGGAATAGAGCTAACCAATTTGAAAAGGAAAATGACATTGACCTACTTACAAGGTCACAGGGAAAAATATGTCAAGCAACTTTTGAAGAAGAAAAAGATTTTTTTTTATTTGGCTGGTAGTTTAAACAGATGGAGCCGACAAAGTTTGCGAGGGAAATATTTGTAGTACAATATGATATTTAATGAGAATATTTTGCTATGACTGCTTAAATATTCAGGTGAGCGATACAGGCCCTCTGGGCCTCTTGTTTCATAGGATTGTAGAGATTGAGTTCTAGACTCACTGTAGATAATTTGGGTTTAGTTTGATTTGCTCAGCTGTGCTCCATTTCCTCACAATCTGATAATGATTTAAGTCTGTGGTTGATCTACAAAACATACATAAATACACAACATTAATATTCATACTATCTGTTATTCATACTATCTGTTCATTCAAAGAATTATTCTTATATTTTTTTTCAGAGGAAGTTGAGCAACTCAAAAAGAAGGAACAAGAAGCAGCCACAAACACTCAGAAATGTGACAGGTAAGGGTGGCAATCACCCTGGGATATGCTCTAGTTTATAAATTGGTACAGGTAGGGGAAACAATCACCCAAACATAGACTCTCATATGATATGATAGGGGAGACAATCACCCAAACATAGACTCTCATATGATATGATAGGGAAGACAATCACCCTGGGATATATTCTAGTTTATAGACCGTTACACAAAAGGGAGACAATCACCCAGACATAGACTCTCATATGATATAAATAGGCTGTTAAAAGGTAGGGGAGACAATCACCCTGGGTTATACTCTAGTTTACAGACCGTTACACACAAGGGAGACAATCACCCAGACATAGACTCTCATATGATATAAATAGCCTGTTATAGGTAGGGGAGACAATCACCCTGGTTTATACTCTAGTTTATAGACCGTTACACAAAAGGGAGACAATCACCAGACATAGACTCTCATATGATATGATAGGGAAGACAATCACCCAAACATAGACTCTCATATGATATGATAGGGAAGACAATCACCCTGGGATATATTCTAGTTTATAGACCGTTACACACAAGCGAGACAATCACCCAGACATAGACTCTCATATGATATAACTAGTTTGTAATTGGAGACAATCCTGCAGATACACATGTAAGGAAGACACAACCTGACACATGCTCTGGTTTTTTGTAGCTTGTTATAAGTAAGGCAGACGATCACATACAATCTAGTTTACAGGTACTTACTCCATTTGAATTGGATGACGCATCTAGGAAAATATCTTTTAATCTAATACAGATTTTCACTTAACTTGGTGTACATGATTTTATGAAGCAAAATACTTGTACATGTATATTCTGTCTTTGCGTATTGCAGAGTTATCTTCTCTTGTGAGCAGATATTGATTGTTACATCATTTGTTTGAGAGAGTAAGGCCAAAAAAATTTGATTACTTGGTTCTCAGGCCCACGTGCATTTCATTTTAGGGCACCGCATTGGCGATTTTATCGTGAAAGTAATAAAAAAAATGTGAATGTGCAGCCACTGTTTTTAAAAATATCCTGAAAATTGATCAGCATGTCGTTTTTACTCGTTAGTCGTCCCAAAAACGTTTGAATAAAGATAAGGATTGAGATACAGGTAAGCATTAAAACGATTATGACTTATTAGTCTTGTGTACAAATGGCGCTCATTTTGGTACAAGTAAGGAATGGGGGGTTCGTGATTCTCGTCTGGAACATCGTGGGGGGATTTTCGGAGGCTTGCTCCATGACGGGTCTCTACACAACTATAAAAAGACAAGGTAATGCCCACAATGAACGTTTTACAAACTTCACAATCAAAAAATCGCCCTTGTCTCGTTTTTGCCTTGTAAAATGGGGAAAATATCACCGCCCTGCCGCATCTCTTTGGAAAAAAATTGGCCTGAGAACTAAGTAATTAATTTTATTTCGCCTAACGTCATCAATTTTTGAGAAAACATTGTAATTTTCTCACATGAACCAATGACGTAACAATCAATACCTGCTCACAAGAGAAGATAACTCTGCAATACACAAAGACGGAATACCAAGCCCATGCAAGTTTGGCCATAACCGGAATCTTTAACATTTTTAGTGAGATAATTTTCATTCCCTAAAGAATATCATGAATGTGTGCATCATTCCAGCTAGGGAGGAATAGCAGAACACTGTGCCCTGACTTTAATTAATACCAGGGTAATCACACTCTGGTGCCCTGCCTTTTTCTGAAAATTCTTTTATTAGATACTGCATCTTTATAGGCACTTTCCTTGTAATTTTTCTACTGGCTGTACACAAGATTTGTATCCACCTCCATGGACTAAATGACACTTATAAGAGCTATAGCAGAGCAATTATCATGTTCAACAAACTGTAAATAGTTATCGGCATGCATGTCCAGTTGTAACTGTTAAGTGATTTTGATTTGCTCAGTTTTACAGCCGAATACAGACTGTTTCCCCTAGCTAAAAAGTGTGTTTTCCCCAAAAATAACCAAAAAATGAGAAATCTATTTCCAATTTCAATAAAATGATGCTTTGTTTTCTCAATTCATAAAGGAACAGGCTGTTGTAAAATTTAGGTAAAAACCCCACTTCTGTTACACCTGTGTTCAAATCCAAACTATTGCACTGTACAACCTGTCTGAAGGAAAGGGCGACCACAACAAAATCTATATTTATAGGGAACGGATCTTGACAGAATGGAAACAATTAGAAAGGCAATCAATTGGATAAATTAACCATTTTCCAGTTTCATACCAAGATGCTTGAAGATGACTAGTCAGTCAAGGGAAATAACTCTCACACTTGCACAAGTCCTTGTATTTATTCTCATGATTTGTTTAGCTAAAAAAAAGAATAAATCTTGGATAGCATTAAATAGTAAAGAAAAAAATACACTTGATTCAAATGAACACAAATGTACCATTAAATATAATCTGTTTTTTTATTAATACTTTGACCTCTTTCTGTCCTTTTCTAATCCTAGCTGGATTACTGGTGTGTGTTTTAACCAAATTTGGTGTAAAATGGATGTGATAGTGTTGATCAAATTCCAAGATCTTCGAGTAAATCTATGAGCGTTTATTTTATAAGGTTACAAGCTCTTCCTCAAATCTGATTGGCTGATGATTTCTGCAATTGAATTAATGAACATACAATGTATGAGCCCACCATCACATATTTAAATATTTTATTATATGAATTTGCGTGTTTTTTTTCTAGTGTATGTGCGGATATGAGGAAAATGATTATAGATGCTGTTGAGAAAACAATGGGAATAAATGCAGTACAAACCTTGCACCAAGCCGGTGTTGATGTAGGCGAATATAAGGACAAGATTGGGTAAGATCAAATCTTGATGTGGGCAAAGAAAGAATATTTTGTATCCAGTAACTCTACCTACAGTTCTATTTGGTGGCTATCCTAAAGTTATTTAAGAAATGTTCAAAGAAACATTGTTAAAGTCAAGATCACATAGTATATAAACCATATACAATTCAATCCTTTACTTTTGAAAAAAAAATAGTACTTGTCTGTTTACCTTTAATGTTTCAAGCCTTTTACAGGAAACACATTTGTTTTTTAGTTTGGCCTGTCATATGTATAGATGAAGTAATTCATTATTTTAGTATTGACAGTACTCCTTCAGACTAGAATTCATACTATGGCTATCCTAAGGCAACATCTTGTTACTAATTGGCTACTTACCTCATAAAGAGCAAGTTTGAAAAACAGATGGGGCCATTTTTGTTTCTTGGTGTATCATAATATAATTCACATTAGATCTTTTTTTCATATGTTCTTTGGGATTATCTTTTAAAATTTACAGCATATCATATACATAGAGTATCAATTAAAAAAAAAAAATTGTTATTTAAAAGCATTCATTTTTAATTGGTACTTTTATTCCGACTAGGTCTCTGAGCCAAGGCCAAGCACAGCAGCCACAGAAGCCAGTCGTAAATGAAGCGAATTCTGAACAGAAACCTGCTCAGCCTCAAGGGGGTGAGAAATTAGACACCAGCATAAACAACCAGCCTGGTCAAGGTGCAGCTGATCCTAATTCCCAACAACCTTCAGAAGGCAACGCCTTACCACAGGGACAAATTAAACCTCAGGCAGGCCAGGGGGAGGCTAATGTGCTTCCAGCTGCTCAGGTTCAGCCCCAGTTGAATCCCGAACCTAAACCCCTAAATCCAGACCAAGCTGCTATTAAACCCCTTGAAAATCTCATTCCTAGCAGTAAACAACAGGAGAGTAACATTATTCCTCCAGCCCAGTCAAACCCTGACCTCCCCAACCCTCAGGTGAATCAGCAGGTCCCACCCCCCGGCAACCCTCCCCAGGAACAGGGTGACCCAAAAGGTTAGTATCCTTACACATGCCATGCTTGCAAGGGTGTTGGTTTCTATAAAATAACACTTGTTGTTATTGCACTGTTTTCCTGTACAATTCAACATGATATCTAATTGCTGTTAAAACACCTGCAAAATCAGTCTGCTGTGAACTTGAAAACTTTCCCCCAGTGAAATATTGACCGTTTCTTAATAAACTCAAGGGCAAGGACGGTACCTTAGTATCCAGTTAAGTCGGGGTAGCACTACTATTAAGTTGATATTTTTCTAGTACAAATGTTTCTGTTATTGTGAGTTTTTAGCATAGTTTTTAAATTACTTACTAATCTGTTTCAAAAACTGACAGCAGATTTTAAACATGATTGTAATGGTAAATGTTTAACATTCATGTCTATAGTACCGGTGTTTTAAGTGTATCAGCAAATTACTCATAAGCTTTTGTCTTATTGTCTGTTTTATTCAAAGTTAATAATATCAATTAAAAAAGAGTGGATGTAAGTGCTCGAAAAAAGACATCACTTTATTATATTTATAGGTGTCTGAAACATCGGACTTTTCTGACATCCTGTCAAAACCATCATTGTGCTAGATTTCATTCTTTGTATAAAAATATAGGTATTTTTGTTCGCTCTCCATTCAAAATTCTAACACAATGACATACATATTTATATATACAGCTCCCGCACCAAATTGTAGAAAAATTACCTTTAACAGATCAATGTAGTCTCTATAAAAAACGTTGGTTAAGAAAAGATAAATAAATCAGGGATTTGGAAAAAGTTGTTAACTTTCTCAGAAGTAGTGGCTGTGCGCCTAAAATGGAAAGTTTACCATAGCATGCAGTCAATTCAAACAAGTGGGAACCGGTTGCAATTTAAAAATTACTACTAAAGATATTTTAGCTCACCTGGTCCAAAGGACCATGGCGAGCTTTACCATACCACAGCATCTGTCGTCCGTCCATCAACTTTTCCTTTAAAATGCTAATAGTCATGAACGACTGAGCAGATTTTGACCAAATTTGGTCAGAAGCATCCTTAGGGGAAGGGGGACCAATTTTGTCTAACCGGTGGATCTGCCCCCCTAGGGGCCTGAGGGGCGTGCCCAATAGGGGAAACATAGCAAATTATTATTTAAAATCCTTCTTCTTCTGTAGGAATTAAAGGAGTTGGTCCATATTTGGTGGCGAGCATCCTTGGGTAAAGGGGAACCAGTTTTGTATAAACAGTGGGTGTGGCCCCCCTGGGACCTGAGGGGTGAGGCCCAATAGGGGAAATAGAAGTAAAACCTTTATAATCCTTCTTCTACCATAGGGATTTTATCCTAATTTAGTATGGAGCATCCTTGGGCAAAAGGGACTCAATTTCATATAAACAGCAAGTGTGGCCCCCCTGGGGGCAAAAGGGAGGGCCCAATAGGGGAAACATAGCAAACTCTTCAAATATCTTCTTCTTCTGTACGAATGACAGGATTTTGTCCAAATTTGGTATGAAGCATCCTTGGCTGAAGGTGGGCCCAATTTTGTATAAACAGTTGGTGTGGTCTCCTAGGGGGCAAAAGGACGGGGCCCAATAGGAGAAATAGCAGTTAAACCTTTAAAATCCTTCTTCGACCATCAGGATTAAGGGATTTTATCCTTATTTATTCTGCAGCATCCTTGGTCCAAGGGGTCTCAATTATGTATAATTGGTGGGTATGACCCTCCCTAGGGGCATCATGGTGGGGCACTGTTTGAAGTTTGTTCTCGCTATATCTCAAGTACTGGATGGATCTTTCTGAAATTGATATGTACTTATAATTACAGCACCTACCATGGAGTGCTATATCTTTACTTCATATCAATTATTTTAAACATATTTAGGTGAGCAATACAGGCCCTCTGGGTCTCTTGTTAGTTTATGTATATAGTAGCTATAGACTTTCGTCAAAACAGGGCTATGGTAAGGATAACAACCCCATTTATGTTATTATTGAGTGTTTTGAATATTAAATGTTATTTGGGGCCATGGTCACACATAACCTGGAAACTTATAGGTTACAACTGTGGTTCATATTCACTGTGTTATGAGGACTGAAGAATGTTATTTCTAGTATTTCTTTCTTAAGAATGTAATGATGCAAAACTTTGTGACATCGTGATTTAACATTAGATAACTGTCTATTTTCTGTTGTGACATATTCACTAACAAATGTTATTTAAATAATTAAACTAATTAAGTGTCTATGTATATGGAGATGAAAGAAAGATCATAGCTCGTTGCGTACATTTGTTAGCAAATAATTCTGATTTTTTCTTGAGAAAAGAGATTAATTTCAAAACAGTCTATAAGTATGCTGTAGTGATGATCTAAATTAGCATAATTAGATAATCAGTATATAATCATATAACTTTCACTTATCTGTTTAAACAATAGCTCGGCTTGTATTAGTGATAGTACGTAGCTATCATATATAATATAAACCATGCTGTGTAAAAAGAAAATGATGAATCAAAAAGGCATTAAAGCTTTCAATTTAATTCTACATTCCCTGTAGCTGTACTATAAATACAATACATGCTATACATGTCTGAATATCAATGGTCAAGGTTAACAAGTTTGTTATCAATTATGTGTCATAGACTGACTATTCAGGTTAACTATCTAGAAATGTATTTAAAACCTTTAAACACTTATCTTGATTCTGAGTTATTTTCATTTACAACAACAGACACACTCCAGCAAAAAATTGTCTCAGAACAAATGAAACACAACCCAGAACAACAGAAACAGGACCCAAATCGGAAACAAGTGCAAGCGAAACAGTTACAGAACAATCCTAAGGACTTGTATACAAAACCTACTGGTGATAGAAATACAATGAGATATAAAGTCACAAAGACAACTCCAGAATCCAAAACCTCAACCACAACACCATATTTCTTACAGGTGACTACATATACAAAAAACACTGATTTTTCAGTTCCAGATAACCATGACAACAACCCTCCTGCGGATGCTGATGATCAGGTACAGCAGCCTGGTCAGATGGGGGCTACTACAGCTAAACCAGTAACCTCAGGCATTCAAAACTTGTTAGACAAATTCCGTAACAACATTGTTAATCCAATCTTCTCAAATTCTTCTTCTCTGGGAGTGGGGAACTTTCATAAATCTCTTGCCTTGAAAGCTGGAGAAATAGCAAAACAGAACTTCTTGGACAATTCAAATCAGTTTAAAAAAGGAATTAGCAATAAAACTCTTGTAGACCAGGTCGATCCAAAGACTGCAGATCAAGGTCAGGCAGATGCAAAGAAATTAGGTCAAGGTCAGGCAGATAAGAAGACATTAGGTCAAGGTCAGGCAGATCCGAGAGAAGCGGGAAAGGAGGAAGTATCAGCAGAGGTTAATCCTGTTGGTCAGACTGCTGGTAAGATGGTAGAAATGAGCAAATCCAAGGGTAACAGCAAACCTAAAATCTCCAATCAGACCACAGCTATGTCAAACAAGCAGATGGCTGGCCAGCAGGCAGCCAAAGACAAAGTTGATTATGATGACTATGATGATGGAGATGATAAAAAGACAGGTGGAAAGGGCGACGGCAAAAAGATGGAGGTAGATGAAGTATAGGATATGGAGGGGTGCAAGCTAGCAGGAACATCAGAACTAGGATAGTTTTAGCAAACAGAACAGAATTTGAAGAAGCTTGTAAATAACCCATTTCCCCTAAAGCCTTACAACCTATGCTATCATACCTTTTATAGAAGAATGATTTTTACACAAATAATAACAAAGACAATTTCAATGGACTGCACAAATCAGTGTATTAAGGTTTATTCACCCAGATTTTTTTTTAATTTTTAAGATCACAGAATGTAGTGGCAACTTGTAAGATTTTAATGAGATTTTCAGGTTTTCTGTTAGTAGCCTGTAGAGCTAGTATATATATATGTATACCAACTCAATCTAAGGTGACAGTAATGTATGGGACCTGCATGTCTCCAGTAATATCAGATGCCTGCCCGTATAGACCATTTTTTTTTAAAAAATACCAGTAATAGACTGAATATTTTTATGGGATATGATACATATGCACCACTACATGCTTGACTTGCTTACCCTGTTGTAGAAATATACATGCTGTGTATTTATCCTCTCTGAGAAGGTACTAGGTTACAGAATGACCACCCCACTTTATAGTTGTGTTGGTTTTCTGATACCTTCATATTTTTTTTTCTACAATAGGTTATAGGATGGTAATCCCTACCTAAGATGGTCTAGGTAATGTGAATGGTAATCTTTATCTGAGATGGTCTAGTTAATGTGAATGGTAATCTTTATCTGAGATGGTCTAGATAATGTGAATGGTAATCCCTACCTAAGATGGTCTAGGTAATGTGAATGGTAATTTTTATCTGAGATGGTCTAGGTAATGTGAATGGTAATCTTTATCTGAGATGGTCCTAGATAATTGAATGGTAATCCCTATCTGATGATGGTCCTAGATAATTGAATGGTAATCCCTATCTGATGATGGTCTAGATAATGTGAATGGTAATCCTTATCTGATGATGGTCCTAGATAATTGAATGGTAATCCCTATCTGATGATGGTCCTAGATAATTGAATGGTAATCCTTATCTGATGATGGTACTAGATAATTGAATGGTAATCCTTATCTGATGATGGTCCTAGATAATTGAATGGTAATCCTTATCTGATGATGGTACTAGATAATTGAATGGTAATCCTTATCTGATGATGGTACTAGATAATTGAATGGTAATCCTTATCTGATGATGGTACTAGATAATTGAATGGTAATCCTTATCTGATGATGGTACTAGATAATTGAATGGTAATCCTTATCTGATGATGGTACTAGATAATTGAATGGTAATCCTTATCTGATGATGGTACTAGATAATTGAATGGTAATCCTTATCTGATGATGGTACTAGATAATTGAATGGTAATCCTTATCTGATGATGGTACTAGATAATTGAATGGTAATCCTTATCTGATGATGGTACTAGATAATTGAATGGTAATCCTTATCTGATGATGGTACTAGATAATTGAATGGTAATCCTTATCTGATGATGGTACTAGATAATTGAATGGTAATCCTTATCTGATGATGGTACTAGATAATTGAATGGTAATCCTTATCTGATGATGGTACTAGATAATTGAATGGTAATCCTTATCTGATGATGGTACTAGATAATTGAATGGTAATCCTTATCTGATGATGGTACTAGATAATTGAATGGTAATCCTTATCTGATGATGGTACTAGATAATTGAATGGTAATCCTTATCTGATGATGGTACTAGATAATTGAATGGTAATCCTTATCTGATGATGGTACTAGATAATTGAATGGTAATCCTTATCTGATGATGGTACTAGATAATTGAATGGTAATCCTTATCTGATGATGGTACTAGATAATTGAATGGTAATCCTTATCTGATGATGGTACTAGATAATTGAATGGTAATCCTTATCTGATGATGGTACTAGATAATTGAATGGTAATCCTTATCTGATGATGGTACTAGATAATTGAATGGTAATCCTTATCTGATGATGGTACTAGATAATTGAATGGTAATCCTTATCTGATGATGGTACTAGATAATTGAATGGTAATCCTTATCTGATGATGGTACTAGATAATTGAATGGTAATCCTTATCTGATGATGGTACTAGATAATTGAATGGTAATCCTTATCTGATGATGGTACTAGATAATTGAATGGTAATCCTTATCTGATGATGGTACTAGATAATTGAATGGTAATCCTTATCTGATGATGGTACTAGATAATTGAATGGTAATCCTTATCTGATGATGGTACTAGATAATTGAATGGTAATCCTTATCTGATGATGGTACTAGATAATTGAATGGTAATCCTTATCTGATGATGGTACTAGATAATTGAATGGTAATCCTTATCTGATGATGGTACTAGATAATTGAATGGTAATCCTTATCTGATGATGGTCCTAGATAATTGAATGGTAATCCTTATCTGATGATGGTCCTAGATAATTGAATGGTAATCCCTATCTGATGATGGTACTAGATAATTGAATGGTAATCCTTATCTGATGATGGTACTAGATAATTGAATGGTAATCCTTATCTGATGATGGTACTAGATAATTGAATGGTAATCCTTATCTGATGATGGTACTAGATAATTGAATGGTAATCCTTATCTGATGATGGTACTAGATAATTGAATGGTAATCCTTATCTGATGATGGTACTAGATAATTGAATGGTAATCCTTATCTGATGATGGTACTAGATAATTGAATGGTAATCCTTATCTGATGATGGTACTAGATAATTGAATGGTAATCCTTATCTGATGATGGTACTAGATAATTGAATGGTAATCCTTATCTGATGATGGTACTAGATAATTGAATGGTAATCCTTATCTGATGATGGTACTAGATAATTGAATGGTAATCCTTATCTGATGATGGTACTAGATAATTGAATGGTAATCCTTATCTGATGATGGTACTAGATAATTGAATGGTAATCCTTATCTGATGATGGTACTAGATAATTGAATGGTAATCCTTATCTGATGATGGTACTAGATAATTGAATGGTAATCCTTATCTGATGATGGTACTAGATAATTGAATGGTAATCCTTATCTGATGATGGTACTAGATAATTGAATGGTAATCCTTATCTGATGATGGTACTAGATAATTGAATGGTAATCCTTATCTGATGATGGTCCTAGATAATTGAATGGTAATCCTTATCTGATGATGGTACTAGATAATTGAATGGTAATCCTTATCTGATGATGGTACTAGATAATTGAATGGTAATCCTTATCTGATGATGGTACTAGATAATTGAATGGTAATCCTTATCTGATGATGGTACTAGATAATTGAATGGTAATCCTTATCTGATGATGGTACTAGATAATTGAATGGTAATCCTTATCTGATGATGGTACTAGATAATTGAATGGTAATCCTTATCTGATGATGGTACTAGATAATTGAATGGTAATCCTTATCTGATGATGGTACTAGATAATTGAATGGTAATCCTTATCTGATGATGGTACTAGATAATTGAATGGTAATCCTTATCTGATGATGGTACTAGATAATTGAATGGTAATCCTTATCTGATGATGGTACTAGATAATTGAATGGTAATCCCTATCTGATGATGGTACTAGATAATTGAATGGTAATCCTTATCTGATGATGGTACTAGATAATTGAATGGTAATCCTTATCTGATGATGGTACTAGATAATTGAATGGTAATCCTTATCTGATGATGGTACTAGATAATTGAATGGTAATCCTTATCTGATGATGGTACTAGATAATTGAATGGTAATCCTTATCTGATGATGGTACTAGATAATTGAATGGTAATCCTTATCTGATGATGGTACTAGATAATTGAATGGTAATCCTTATCTGATGATGGTACTAGATAATTGAATGGTAATCCTTATCTGATGATGGTACTAGATAATTGAATGGTAATCCTTATCTGATGATGGTACTAGATAATTGAATGGTAATCCTTATCTGATGATGGTACTAGATAATTGAATGGTAATCCTTATCTGATGATGGTACTAGATAATTGAATGGTAATCCTTATCTGATGATGGTCCTAGATAATTGAATGGTAATCCTTATCTGATGATGGTACTAGATAATTGAATGGTAATCCTTATCTGATGATGGTCCTAGATAATTGAATGGTAATCCTTATCTGATGATGGTCCTAGATAATTGAATGGTAATCCTTATCTGATGATGGTCCTAGATAATTGAATGGTAATCCTTATCTGATGATGGTCCTAGATAATTGAATGGTAATCCTTATCTGATGATGGTCCTAGATAATTGAATGGTAATCCTTATCTGATGATGGTCCTAGATAATTGAATGGTAATCCTTATCTGATGATGGTCCTAGATAATTGAATGGTAATCCTTATCTGATGATGGTCCTAGATAATTGAATGGTAATCCTTATCTGATGATGGTCCTAGATAATTGAATGGTAATCCTTATCTGATGATGGTCCTAGATAATTGAATGGTAATCCTTATCTGATGATGGTCCTAGATAATTGAATGGTAATCCTTATCTGATGATGGTCCTAGATAATTGAATGGTAATCCTTATCTGATGATGGTCCTAGATAATTGAATGGTAATCCTTATCTGATGATGGTCCTAGATAATTGAATGGTAATCCTTATCTGATGATGGTCCTAGATAATTGAATGGTAATCCTTATCTGATGATGGTCCTAGATAATTGAATGGTAATCCTTATCTGAGATGGTTCTAGATATTAAACAATAATTATATACAATTCCTGGCTGAGATGGTGATAGATTATAAAATGATCATCCCTTTCTGTTAAAATACTATAGAATGGTTATCCTATCTAATGTACCCTGGTGCGTGTCATTATTTGATACATGAACCAATTTTTTGTTTGAACTGTGTTGCATTGGAGTTCTTTTTAGCTCTGCTACAAGTACATACCCTGTAGACTCCTTAATCAGTAATACAAAATAGTTTGATTTTTACCTTGGGTTTAGAATTATTTATACATGAGTGGGATACATTTTATGATGTGTATAATTAAACAATTTGCAGTTAAAACCGACTTGTAATGGTGAGAACACCTGTTGTACAAGTATACGGATGCCTCTTATTCATGATCAGGTACATATAGATATATACTACAAGGAGGACAGGTATATGAAAAATGAAGTATTTTGTCATAATTATCCTCCATAGACCTTTAACCTATTATTATCCACCTGCCACATAATGAACACCACAATATGGAAGGATCAAATCGACATTCAGGAGTATCACATCACAGAAGAAAATCTCTGGTAAAAAGTATTCAATAATGCCCTCTCCACCTAGGTACTTGTGATAATGTCATAATATTCAACCTATGGGTACTTGTAAGTAATTTCAGGACCTTTTGATAAAAAGGTCAGTTTAAAATAGTTGATAAAAAATATTTAAATTGATGCATTCTATAAAACAAAAAATTTGCCAATTAATCATATGCAGCATGATGTATTTCAATTTTGTTTTATCAGAAATGAATGATAATGTTCACTTTTGATATAATGAGAGATTTATCTCAATTTAGAACATAACATCATTATTTTAACTTATAATCAATATAAATGAGGTTGAAAAAATGAAATCTTTTTATTGCTGCTGTTAGCAGGAATTGTTAATAAGAAAACTGAAGTCGATAGTGAATGATACATATTAATAAATAAATATATATTACGCTTGAGTAACATTACTTTATGAAATGCAGTACCAAATATATGGCCAGTCAATGCCATATATCACAGACACACACTACATTTACTGCACTACATCAACAGCACCTATCTTACTTGAGGAGATATATGTATTGATGGCAAAAATAGCTCTAGCCTTAAGCTTACAACAAAATATAATACCTGGTTTACACTTTCCTTACATCTGGATTTATATATTTTTTTAGGAAAAATCATGTTACATACATGTATTATACAAACTGATATTGAAATTCTGCATACTTTTATGAATCATTGGGTTAGATTTTTTAGAAAGTTTCAAGTGTACACGCTAAATGTTATTGCACTGTGTATAAAGCTGTGCTAAGCATGTATTTTGTAGTCTCCGCAGGTAAAATGACCGCTTCTGACAATCTGTTCAGCAACTGTTTGCAGTTCTAGTGTATGTTAGCTTGCATCCCTATATTGCATGTATCCGCATGTATTACATATTAAGTTACTATATAATGGTAACAGAAGTTATAAAGTTCAAGAAACTGAAAATGAGATTGAATCCAAATTAAACATGTTATGTTAAACATCTCATTGTAGCTTCTGGTCTTCAGGTTTCTTCAAATACCGTAATTTGCATGTTTTATTTCCAACAAAATTCATCATATTGTCTCTTATTAAGCTTTACTAGGGGCTGGCTGTTCAAAGTTTAATAAGCTTTAAGGAAAGTTAGTTTAAACATTTATATACTGTATGTAGTATTAACAAACATATTAAAATCAAATGTACAGGACTTAAGACAGTCGTCAAAAGTCAAACAGAAAAGAACCAAAAAATATAATGTTGTTAAAAATTTGCTTTACAGTGATTCTAACCAAACTTTGAACAACAAGACTCTGGTGTTTAATTCATCTTTCATCTTTTGCATGTTTCCTTCAGCATTTTATATCCTAAGCAATACCAGCTTTTTTCCTGGATTTCTGCTACCTAAAAATATATAGCTTAATCTTGCTACAAATGTAATGGGGTAAACATTCTATAGTACATATCTATATGTTCCTGGTACATAAACATGCATGGAGAATATTAGAGACATATTCTGAACAATTAAACTTTCTTCTCACAAAAAATGAAGGGAAATTTGAGGATGAATCATATTAGGATTGTTGTCACAAGATGTGTGATACACCGACGATGGTTTCTGGATTAGAGTCCATTTCACTAAACGTCATGCATCATTTAGCATATAAAGCTATTACATAGCATTGGCTGAACCATAATTGTATGTGAAAATACAGTCACCCTACAGAAATACTGAGTCTCTGGCACATTATTGCTGTGATAGCACCACACCATTGCTGTGATAGCACCACACCATTGCTGTGATAGCACCACACTATTGCTGTGATAGCACCGCATGTTCAGATTTCGTATGCAAATTGGGTTTCTGGCGATATAATCACCAGAATATTGCCAGAAAGTTTTGGTGCACTTGCATCGATATAGCCAGAATGTTCTAGTGCACTTGTGGCGATATAGCCAGAATGTTCTGGCACACTCATGGCGATATAGCCAGAATGTTCTGGTACACTTGCGGTGATATAGCCAGAATGTTCTAGTGCACTTGCGGCGATATAGCCAGAAATTTCTGGTACACTTGCGGTGATATAGCCAGAATGTTCTAGTGCACTTGTGGCGATATAGTCAGAATGTTCTGGCACACTCATGGCGATATAGCCACATTGTTCTGGTGCAGTTGCGGCGATATAGTCAGAATGTTCTGGCACACTCATGGCGATATAGCCACGTTGTTCTGGTGCAGTTGCGGCGATATAGTCAGAATGTTCTGGCACACTCATGGCGATATAGCCACATTGTTCTGGTGCAGTTGCGGCGATATAGTCAGAATGTTCTGGCACACTCATGGCGATATAGCCACGTTGTTCTGGTGCAGTTGCGGCGATATAGTCAGAATGTTCTGGCACACTCATGGCGATATAGCCACATTGTTCTGGTGCAGTTGCGGCGATATAGTCAGAATGTTCTGGCACACTCATGGCGATATAGCCACGTTGTTCTGGTGCAGTTGCGGCGATATAGTCAGAATGTTCTGGCACACTCATGGCGATATAGCCACATTGTTCTGGTGCAGTTGCGGCGATATCGCCACAGGCTAGCGTACAGGTGATATTATGACTCATCCACTCTTGGCAAGCAAGATTGGTCCCACAATCAAATATATAACAATATAGCAGCAGGGTTGTGCATATAGTTTAGATAATAATTCATAGCTAATATTAATCAGGGATTGGTTAGAAAGTTCAACACATAAATATGGATTGTTTTACAATGCGATATTCGTTAATAGTAATTATCAACAATGTTAATATAATGTATCAGTAAGAACAGTTTTATAGGAAACCGTTCTGTATAGATCGAAGCAACGGGATGAACTTCTGTAAAAATTGTACAGCAATACCTAAAGCAAGATTTTGATATGATGTACTATACACTTCTAAATACATGCACCTAGTAGAATTGTGTAGGATACAATTTAAACTTTATATTGTTGTATGAAAATGCACAACAGTAATTCAGTAAAGATTTTACATTTTTATGACCATTGATTATAAAAAACATAGAAGAAAACATATTCTACATTACCTTTATAAGACTCAAGAATGCTATCACTTTATCCATAAAAGACTACAAAGCCTCTTTATTTCACTCAACTTTTCCCTTTACCATGAACTATCCTTCATTCATCAGCCTTTATGTGATTTTTGAATTTTGGGGTCAACATTTCACTGCTTGCAGCTGGTTGGAGATGAGGAGTGAGGGAGACCTCCTTTATTGGATGTGTCAGAGGTCAAAACAGGTTTATAAAATCATAAATACCACTATATCCCCCTTGTAAGGACATTATAAGCTGGATCTACAATGTTTGACACCATCCTTATACATGAACTCGCTAAAACAAAAAATGTCATTGTTTTCATCGAGTTCTTGATAAATCTCATGATTTGAAACAATCTAAATTACTTGCAATATTGTGTTCTATCCCTATCACTTACTAACTCACCATTGCATGGCAAGTCATAAATACAAATTACTGTGAACCATCTAGTCTGAATTCGATGTATCAAATGTGTAGTTTCCTTTTATCTAATTTCATCTAAATTTCTTCTTTGGACATCTATTCCCTCTATGAAACATATACTTTTCTGCCAAAACAGTACATTCCTCTTCCTTTGCTATCCTGGTCACAACCTTTCGTGGAATTCATGGATAAGAGAGATCATGAAATAATGAAAGTAACTCCCATACAAAAGATTTCACAGTACACTTGTATTTAGTAACTTCACAACTGACTGTAATCTAACATTTTATATTTTGACACTGCATGTAACAAATAATGATGACACTTCTGGCATAAATATATATTGTGTATTCATTTTAGCAATCCAGTGTATTACATACACTTAGAACAATTAAAATTGAAGTTTTGTTGTTCATTTCTGGAAAGGATCAATGTTTAAGCTAGATCATAATAAAACCAAAGATTTATTTTCACATGAAACATCAATTGATCATTTAGAAACAATTGATCCGATCAAATTTGAATAGAATGATAGATATATAGCTGTTGATGCTGGTACTACATAGCACCATTTTGTAGATAGTTGTTGATATACCACATATACCCACTGTTCATCTGTTTTCTCAGGACGACTATGAAGATGACCCGGACGTTGGAGACAACAGGTTGAAGTTTATTCCTGTGAGTATTCACACACTAATAAAACAGATATATTTCAGAACTATTTATGTGTTTAAAAATATGGATCTTATATTGTTGTATTATTATGTATGGTTTTAATGTGATTGTTGTCAGTATACATTTCTAAGTTTACAAATTGAGAGATCATTAGATGTCAGTTGTGTAATGTCTTAAGCCTAATCCATTCTTACAGCCACCTTGTCTGTTGTCAGATGATTAAGAGGTTTTAACACAATCATTCTCAACCCCTATCATCTGTCAACCCCTATCAACTGTCAACCCCTATCATCTGTCAACCCCTATCATCTGTCAACTGTCAACCCCTATCATCTGTTAACCTATATCTGTCAACCCCTATCATCTCCCTATCATCTGTCAACCCCTATCATCTGTCAACCCCTATCATCTCCCTATCAACTGTCAACCCCTATCAACTCCCTATCATCTGTCATCTGTCAACCCCTATAATCTGTCAACCCCTATAATCTGTTCACTGTCAACCCCTTTCATCTGTCAACCCCTTTTATCTGTCATCTGTCAACCCCTATCATCTGTTAACCCCTATCATCTGTCATCTGTCAACCCCTATCATCTGTCAACCGCTATCATCTGTCATCTGTCAACCCCTATCATCTGTCATCTGTCAACCCCTATCATATGTCAACCCCTATCATCTGTCAATCCCTATCATCTGTCAACCCCTATCATCTGTCATCTGTCAACCCCTATCATCTGTCAACTGTCGACCCATATAATCTGTTAACTGTCAACCTCTATCATCTGTCAACTGTCAACCCCTATCATCTGTCATATGTCAAACCATATCATCTGTCAACCCCTATCATCTGTCTACTGTCAACCCCTATCATCTGTCTACTGTCAACCCATATCACCTGTCATCTATCAACCCCTATCATCTGTCATCTGTCAACCCCTATCATCTGTCAACTGTCAACCCCTATCATCTGTCATCTGTCAACCCCTATAATCTGTTCACTGTCAACCCCTTCATCTGTCAACCCCTTTTATCTGTCATCTGTCAACTCCTATCATCTGTCAACCCCTATCATCTGTCATCTGTCAACCCCTATCATCTGTCAACCCCTATCATCTGTCATCTGTCAACCCCTATCATATGTCACCCCCTATCATCTGTCAGTCCCTATCATCTGTCAACCCCTATCATCTGTCATCTGTCAACCCCTATCATCTGTCAACTGTCGACCCATATAATCTGTAAACTGTCAACCCCTATCATCTTTCAACTGTCAACCCCTATCATCTGTCATATGTCAAACCATATCATCTGTCAACCCCTATCATCTGTCAACCCCTATCATTTGTCAACTGTCAATCCATATCATCTGTCAACTGTCAACCCCTATCATCTGTCATCTGTCAACCCCTATACTTTGTCAACTGTCAACCCCTATCATATGTCATCTGTCAACCCCTATCATCTGTCAACTGTCAACCCATATCATCTGTCATCTGTCAACCCCTATCATCTGTCATCTGTCAACCCCTATCATCTGTCATCTGTCAACCCCTATCATCTGTCAACTCCTACATCTGTCATCTGTCAACCCCTATCATCTGTCATCTGTCAACCCCTATCATTTGTCAACTGTCGACCCATATAATCTGTTAACTGTCAACCTCTATTATCTGTCAACTGTCAACCCCTATCATCTGTCATATGTCAAACCATATCATCTGTCAACCCCTATCATCTGTCTACTGTCAACCCCTATCATCTGTCTACTGTCAACCCATATCACCTGTCATCTATCAACCCCTATCATCTGTCATCTGTCAACCCCTATCATCTGTCAACCCCTATCATCTGTCATCTGTCAACCCCTATAATGTCAACCCCTATCATCTGTCAGTCCCTATCATCTGTCAACCCCTATCATCAGTCATCTGTCAACCCCTATGATCTGTAAACTGTCAACCCCTATCATGTGTCAACACCTGTCATCTGTCAACCCCCATCATCTGTCAACTGTCAACCTCTATCATCGGTCAATTGTCAACCTCTGTCAACTGTCAACCACTATCATCTGTCAATTGTCAACCTCTGTCAACTGTCAACCACTATCATCTGTCAACTGTCACCCCCTATCATCTGTCACCTGTCAACCCTTATCATCTGTCATCTGTCACCCCCTATCATTAGTAAACTGTCAACCCCTATCATGTGTCAACTGTCAACCTCTATCATCGGTCAATTGTCAACCTCTGTCAACTGTCAACCCCTATCATCTGACAACCCCTATCATCTGTCATCTGTCAACCCCTATCATCTGTCAACCCCTGTCATCTGTCAACCCCTATCATTTGTCAACTGTCAACCCCTATCATCTGTCAACTGTCAACCTCTATCATCTGTCAATTGTCAACCTCTGTCAACTGTCAACCCCTATCATTTGTCTTTTGTCAACCCCTATCATCTGTCAACTGTTAACCCCTATCATCTGTCAATCCTATCATCTGTCAATCCTATCATCTGTCAACTGTCAACCCCTATCATCTGTCA